TTGTTTTTTGCGGTATTTGAAAATATATTCGACGAAATTTGCTGCAAAATATGCGAAAAGCTAAAAAATGAGTAAATTTAATATTTTCCCGCCGGGTTACTGTCGCACTCGTTTCAACTGTTTCGGGTTGTTTACGCTTACAGATATTTGTTTACAAACATCGCATACACTTCGACTCAACCTTTTTTTCTCTGACAAGGATAATAGCAAATTTTCCAAAAATTTTTTCAGAAAATTTTTTTCGAAAAGTACTGTAGTTTAAAGGCACATACACTACGATACTACAGGTATCGACATGACTTAGTTTATTAAAATTCATGCTTTTTTCGATATTTTCCGATTTTCCGAAAAGCAAATTCGGAAAAAAATCAAGTATCCTGTTTTTCAGAAGGAAAATTCGGGGAAAAATTTTGATAACCGATTTTTCGAAGGATTTCCAAGACTGGCTTGGGGAAAATTACATGAAAATTGTCGAAAAGCAGAAACAATTGAGAAAAAACCCGGAGTTTCGAATTTTTCCAGACTGACATAAAAATATACTAATATAGAAACCCAGATTTTTCAAAGGGACCTTCAAAACTGCCGAGTGGAACTTCAAAAAAAAGTCCACAAAATTGAAAATCAGGTTGCATTTATTAATGCATTAATTTTCCGTAATTTAGAATGTTCAGCAGTAATTTGTTTTCCTCGCTGAAGTTTGAACAGAAAATAAGAAAATTATTAAAAACCAGTCAAAAGAAAGGTTTTGCAGCATTCGCCACTAGTCTTATATAACCAACAAGAGCTCACAGATCACAGTCCAAAAGAAAACAACATAGAAGAGATCGAGGGAAACCCTCTTATGAGAGAGAGAGAGAGAGATGCTTTCAACACATGAGAAAATACCGAAGTATAGAAAAAGAAAAAATTGGGACAGAGGAAAACAAAAAAAACTTGAAAACACGTTTGAGGTCTGGCCGGCCTCTGGCCATTCTTCTAGGTCTCTTTTATACAGAAAAATAGTCAGCAACAAACAAAAAATAATTGTCATCATTGTAGGAAAAGGACAAGTAAAAGTGTTCAGTGAGAAGAATTACTTTCTGTCAGGAAATAAAATCCAGGGGACAATGACAATTTATATCAATTTCTCATTGAGAAGGATCTATTCTGAGAAAGCGAGGACCAGAAAAACAAAGTTCATCCATTTTCAGAGATTATTTGAAAAATAGGTTGGATTTCGAAACAAAAAAGTACAATGTACCTTTAAAAATGGTGATTTTCACACTACATTCAACAAAGCGTGACTTTACTCAACTTTTTTTGAATACAGATTTTTAGAGTCTGTCCCATTTTTATAGTTTGTGATTGCGGAAGAAATAAAATATTAAGTTCTTGATCAAACATCGAAACTTGTTTACTTGTTTATCGTTTTGGTCAGCCCGCGAGCTGTTTAGAAAAAGGCTGCGTAAACAGAAATGGAAGAGTTTCGAACAATTTGGGCGGATAATGGTGGTTAAATAGCAATCAAATAATGGCATTTGTTTTGTGGCATTTTTATAAGAATGACGTATGCAGGGGGAAAGGAAGAATTTGAAAAACGCAAACATGAAGAATGAGGAATTCAGAAAGTAGATGTCACAACATGGAAATGGAAACCGAAAATGCCGTACTTCATCTAATAGAAGCCTACCCAAACCTTCAACTTTGAGCCCATATATCTCATCACCTGTAGAAGATATTGAAATTTTGTCAACTAATAAATCATTTATTGTAATATCACCAATATTTTATCAGTTGACAAAATTCAGATATCTTTCACAGAAATCGAGATAAATCATGTCAAAGTGGACGGCTTATGTGGAGAGGAATTAAGGTAGGGGCTCTGATGCTTGGCTACATACTGTTCAACCTTGGTAATGTCACAGACCTACCGCACCCAACTTTGAGCCCAATTATCTCGATTCCTGTGAAAAATAATACCGGAATTATAAAACTGTCACCTCGGTGTATGAACCCTCAGTGCAAAAACTCTGATTTTTGTTTATAATTCCGACAATATTTTTCACAGGAATTGAGATAAGTAGGTCTGTGACATTACTAAGATTGGACAGTATGTAGCCAAGCATCGAAGCCCCTACCTTAATTCTTCCCCACGGAAGCTGTCCACTTTGAGCTCATTTATCTCGATTCCTGTGAAAGATATCAAATTTTTGTCAACTAACAAAATGTTAATCAAAATATCACAAATTTTTTATCAGTTGACAAAATTTTGATATCTTTCACAGGAACCGAGATATGTGAGTTCAAAGTTGGGGTGGGCTTCCATTAAAGGAAATACACGGTAACTATGTACTCCGATGCTTGGCTACAGTAACTTTTTAAAATCTGAAAAGTTTATAACCGTCGTCTTACTTAGAAACATTAAAAAAAACACATTTGTCTCTGAACTAGATTTTCCAAAAACTGGGAGGCTTCAGTCAAGTATTCCATCTCCAAATCACTATGCCTAGTTGCGGTCCGTTTGGACAGCGTCAACCGAAATTTTGGGCAAATTCGTAGTTTTCGGCTACACGGAAACTCTGCTCGTTATCTGGTTTTGAATAGAAAATTTCAGAAAACTGTAAAAATTTGAATATCGTAGTTGTGACGATCCATATCGGTAATCTACAAAAAAATCGGAGCGGTGGGAAAATCGACGGTGGCCATGTCGGAAGGACCCACAATAACGACTACCGTCACCTAAAATTTTAGCGATTTTTCAAAAGAAGTTTATTTTTTATTGAATTTTAGGTAAATTTTTAGATCGTTTTAGGTTTTTCAGCTATTTTCAAAGATTCTTTTTCGAATTGCCGGGTTTTTTTGTATGAAATTTGATGGAACGTTGTTTTACTGAGGATTACTGTAGAAACCTAATTTCCTTTTTCGTATTTTTTTTGCAAACACAATCACGTCAAAGTGCAGATAAAAACTGATTTGTTGTCTGAAAAAAAACTACAAAATACAAGGTTTCCTACAGTAATCTACAGTAATCTTCTGTCAAGAACACCCTAATTTCAGACAAAAAAGCCGGAAAACCGAAAAAGAATCTTCAAAAATAGATGAAAAACCTAAAAAGGTCTAAAAATTTTGCAAAAAATCGGAGAAAATTTTCTCGTTTCCCTCAAAAACCAAACAACTTTTATTTTAATACAGATCACATTCTCATTCCAATTTCGAATTCTCAAATGAAATTAGTTCTGGCAGTTTCCATATACATATTCACTTGTCATTCCCGCTGCGTCAGTCCAATTGCACCGTTTCAAAAAAAGCTCAATGAGCATTTTCTTTCGAAACAGGAGGGGACGGGACGAAAAAGAAGGAGGAGGAAAAGAGACATTCTCTAATTGACTTGTTATGTCTCAAGAGGAGTCTGGTAGAAGAAAGCAATAGAAGTGGAAGACTAAGCTCCGTAGTCGTTACTGACAAGTTTAAGGTCAATTCTATTTTCATTCCTCCCATTCGACTTCCAATTAATTTCTTCCTCTCTTGCTCTCCACCCACATTCTTTTTTTTCTGATGCTTCTTGGTAGATGTGAAATTCGAAAACTAGAAAAAGTTTTTGTTCGAGATTCCTTTTTCAATTCCCTATTCATCGAATATTTTATGAGTTTTGAAGAAATCGGCGTCAACCTATCAGATGGAGAGACCTTTTCGAATATTTTTTTGTTTTTCTCTTTTTTTACAGAGTTCTTTGGTATAGAATATCTAGTATGAAGTTCTTCTTTTTTTCTCATATGTTCACTGACCACAACCTCGTTAAAAGTGTCCATGTCACTTCACACCGACTTGGAGC